GTGAATACAACAATAAGTGTAGCCAAGTATAGTAAGGCAAAGARATACTGAGCAGTTCTGATGTCAACTCCATGATTAGTGATGTAATAAAGACCAGCAAATATGTACACAAACCCAGCAGGATAACTAAAACACAAGTATAAATAAAGGGCATTAATTAATACTCCAGTTTTGAGTTCTCTGTTGATCAGGGTTTGCATCAATAGACCTCTTCGGCCTCAGACGTAATGTTTTCCCATTTCAGACCACATGTCATTCCCTAGAGTATTATTTCTTTGTTTAAGGTTTGCGCTCGGTTGCACATGAGAAGACACATGAATATGGATACAGCTCAAACAAAGAATCTTATTCTCAAGGGAATGACACATGGTCTGAAATGGGAAAACATTACCCCAAGCCAAAGAGGTCTATTTTGCGTAGTATATTCATGTTTTCCAGTGAAAGTCTGTGGAATTTGAAAATGTTTATATTATTGTAAAGTTGTGCATGCATTCTACCATTGTGTAGTTCCGAAAAATATATCATAACCCATCCAAGGAGGAAATTGGAGGGGACGGGGGTTGAAGAAAGAACAGAGTTTGTATGGAAGAAAATTGAAAGTTCCTGGGGGTAGGGGGGTCCTTCTACAAATTCTCTCCATGGTGGAGGTATGGATATTTCCTGGAATTACACTTTTGCAATTAATGAGGTGTGTCTACTACTGTATCCTTTAAGGGGCTGAGATCGATTGCACAACAATAATGATTTTTATCAGAATTATAAACCAACCAAAAWATGTTGAAAATAATATCAATATCTTTTCCTTACACAAGAGGACCTGTACCGCCTTCTAGTTTGTAGTAATCATATGTTCCATTAATAACACCTTCTACCTCCGACATGTACGCTTCCCAGTCAATCTCTGTGTCTATATGATACAAAATATAAATCTCTTGAATACTGTTAACTGAGTGCACTYGTYTYCCACCTCTAAGGTSTYGGGTTCRATCACTGGATTCTGAATYACWTGYGAGTACAGYTRAGTCTCTATCTTGAYTCAAGGGGTTTGTMCAAATTATCTRGTTTTCTCCCTCCACAAARCCCAACTAMTKAACTACAATTCCATCTGTGAGTTAATCATGCCATGACTTAATTATATCACCCTAAGAACCAGGCTATTCTTTTCAATATGCCCCTCCCCCACCCCCACCCCTCTCACTTTACTACACCCCTACCCACCCCTACTAAGTATGCAAAACACACCTATTTTTAATGATTTTTTTATCTTAATAATCAACAACCCTGCCCCACAAGTTCTGTACGATTACTCAAAATCTAATGACTTATTTTAGAGGGGGTATCCCATATCAAAATGAACAATGATTGAATTGCTTCCAAAACTTACACTTAATTTTCCAGATTACAGCAATATTTACTATTATCTCAGCACAAAATAGGAGCGCAGCGATAACCCATCCATTTTTAGGCTCAAAGAATGAAGATTTCAGCCAGTTAAAAAGTATTTTCAAGTCAAACTTCGTCTTCTCTTTCACTCTCCTCTTCGCAGGAGCCATCTTGGACCTTCTCCGGGAGTCGTAACAAACTCGTTAATTAGTACACTCGGTTTTGATTGGCTTGATTTTGATTCGTAGTATTATTGAAAGGTCGCGAATGGGACMGATATGAGACCGAAGCTGTGCCGATTGGATATAGTGAGCCCGCGTAGCCCGCGTGTGACTCGTTCTGGAATCAAATCAACAAACAAGATGGCGATCGGAAGAGTAGTCATAATAGTCGCCTTACTTTACCTCAATTTAACTCTCCTCTGCGATGCCCAAGCCATGATCAGAGCTCGACAGTGCACTTTCTTTGGTAAGTCCTTCCTTTGATCGCTGATAACATAAAGATCGTATTCGTTTTGGTGAATATATTATGATGCTAAAACTCGCCCATTCTTGAGTATCAAATCTAAAAGCTTGTCTCATAATTAAGGCAGGCAAAATTTTAATTACAAGTTTTTATCCAAAACTTAAAGCGCATTGAAGCCAGGCTCTGCATTTGCAGTCTTTGTCTACTTCTTATTGTTTTTTAGCTCGCTAACGTTAATGAAAATCAGCTCGACTTGAGCCTTTAAGCTGGCTTGGGGTGAAACTTGAAACCCTCCTAAACAACAGGGTTAGATTCCTCTCTCATCACGAGATGACGCAAACATCTTAGACTTTGACCATTCATTTTTTTCTACATGAAAACCAAGGACAATAACAACGGCGCGYTCAGTTATCTTAGTTTTAAGTAGTTTGGAATATCTTAGAGGCGTTCTCACAGCTGTTTAGAAAAGTGAATGAACACAGAGAGTTCAATGTCAACATAAATGGACAAAGTGCAAGCGATACGATCAATATTTCRGATGTCTCGTTGACAGATAGTTTATCTAATTAATAAACCTTAACTTACGATTGGAAGAAGTTTAATTTCTAGGAAATATAATCAGGAAATACAAGTGTAATATCCTTTGCCAAGTAAACAGTACACCTTCATTCATTTATAAATTTCCCAAATTCTGTGAATTCGTCAAAGTTTTGTGTTTTTTTTCTCGTTTAAAATTTCGTGAATTTTACTTCTATTTATTATTTATACAGTTCATTAGATACTTACTTAGGGATTAAAAGTTGGAAGTATTAAACGATGTGAAAATTAAGTTGTTTTGTCTGCCATTTTGAACCAAGCTACTTAGAGGAATACAGACTTGTTAAAAATTCAGATAAAAAATAAATAAATTCGTGCAAATATAGTGGTAAAATATATTTTGCATTTATGCATTTTCCATTAAGCCAATGAGGAGAAACCAAAATCTGCAGTATCATATTGTATCAAATTAAGTTGATCCTCGCAGTATATGAAGCAACTTATGCAGCTGCAAATTGAAAGATTCAGAAAAAATTCTGAGTCTTGAATGGGATTTGAACCTGTGCCCTGGTTTGACTTCATTTTGATTCCTTCATTTCAATCTATGTTATGATTGGTTAACTTTCTCCAGGTGGCATAAAGATTTTCCATTTGAGAAGATTTCACTCCCTCAAGTATGATTTCTGTATAATTTATGAATAACAAAGCCATATCTGTCTCCCCAAAATGTTTTCTAGGCTGGCATTATCTATCTTTCTTTGTCATCTACACTCTCAGGGCTCGAAATAGCGGCCTGCCAATGGCCAAATAACAGGCCAAATTTCAGGTTTGGCAGGCAAAAATGACGATGCACTGCCAAATGAATAATRAAATGGCATGCAAAATTTACTGGAGTTACCTCCTTTTAGCATACTCCTTTACTATGGCAGGCTACAATTTTTTTCTATTTCAAGACCTGACTCTAACCGTTTTCACTCGTAGGTCAAGGAAGAACTCCAAAAGAGGCATACAGTTTATCTAATTGCACATGGTTCAAGGAGCAATCATGCTGTCGACATACTGAAGTGACGTCAGTTTTCCAAGCCATGATGCCATTGGAAACAAACAACAAAAAATGTTACGATCTCATGAACTACCTCATGTGCTACTTCTGCAGCCCAGACCAGGAACTGTGGTACAAGTCAAATCAGGTACATGTTTGCGGTACGTTTTGCAAACAAATCTACAAAAACTGTAAAAGTGCCAGCTATAAAGGCGAAACAATCGGCAAGAAGTATCCTAATGGCAAAAAGTTCTGCGAAGCACAATTATTTGTCGTCAAAGAAAGTAACAAAGAATGCTTYGACCATAGTTTAATTAGTGCTTCTTCTCACAGCTCGTCTGAATTCTGCCTGCTCTTCATTCTTATTACCTTTTCAATAGTTAGATTTTCACTACTGTGACMATGTTATTAAGAGATCTATTGTAAAACTGGAAAAATTGAACAACAGCATATATATGTATGCTTGTACATAATATATCATGTATATCTGTCAATRGAATAGTTATGTATAGTAACCATATATGATATATATTATATATCATTTAGTAGCTCGACAAAAAGAAATTAAATTAATTTTTCTTAGATTTAGAGTRCAACRTGTAAAAGTATGAGCAATGACATCTTGCTGCCAAATATCATGAGCCTTTATTTGGTAAAACCAGCCTTAAAATTGAAATGTGTTGGTTTAACATAATCACTAACGAAATCATTTATGCATAAAAGTATTGAATACTTTATCAGCGGTCATACTTTTCACGACGTGCTGTAATAATATCAGTGGTAAGTAAGTTTCWAAATGAGTGTTATTTTATGATTTTTTATTTTGAAGACGTGTACAAACATTTCCATGCCCAATGTATAATGGGTGAAGGAGTGTAGCAATAAGAGTATTTTGGTTTCATGAGTAGGAAGATTTTGTTATTTCCTTAGTGTTAATAGTGTTATTAGAATACCATTTTTATTATACTTAGGGATGTGTCTTGCATACAGTCTTTCTCAATAGCAAGCTTGGAATCATACAATTTCCCATTCCCACGAAGTACGTAAACCAAGGCATTTGCATATAGGCACATGTCCTTGAAATACTTTGGTCCCAAATCTGCCAATATTGACATCGGCCAAAACTTGTAGTGAAAACTTTRTTGAAAATGTCCGCAAAACACTCGCTACCTAACATCATTTTAAACAAAACCTTAAAAACATTTATATCGTTTTTAAGGTGGCCAATGGTACAGTGGTAYAATGGCCAGTGTGAAGATATCCATATTTATCATAACGATACTTTATTTTTGAAAATCGTCTAGTGAATGATAATCACTATACAAAATACAAACAACCCTTTCAAGGAAAGAAGTGCTTCTGCAAATCCGTAGTACAATGTAAAAACAAATTGAATYGGGACAAATCATACTATGAATATAGGCTCATATTATACAATAAATAGGTTCATTATATTTGAATAAACTATATTTGAATCTTGTATTTGAATCTAGTGGGTGATTGTCTGAACTCCCTATATTATGATTGAAACCCATAAATGACAACCCAGAGTGATCCTCTTGCTGTAATGCTCCTGGGGAATTCTTCAGCTGACAAGCACTGGAGGAAGAGAGCCTCTGTAACTCAGGGTATGAACCCTCCAGTCTTTTGCTTTGGTTTGGTTCATAGATTCTATTAGCTGCCCTGCCCAGTGAAAATCTTGGATCCACCTCAGGAATAAAACCATCCCTCACAAGGAAACAAAAAAATGATATCACACATTTTGACATTCTTTAGCTAGCTGCTAGGGAAGGTATGTTTTTATTGGTGTTGTGGGGGGGGGAGGGTTGGGCTAGAGATTTGTAGTAAACTTTTTTAAATGATTGTAGCCCTTTTCTCTTTCATTCAGTAAAACTTCATGAGCCTTCTATTAAATCAACAAGGAAAAGCTTTAGTCAAAATAAAAAGGTTTTACCCTCCAAAAAACTTATGATCCTCTTCCGTCTGAATGCCCAGCCCTTGCCCTCCCCCCACTCATAGGTGGTTATGAATCACGGAAATGAATAGACCCCTTGCAGCACTTCGGAATGCAGCTCACTTTGGAGGACATAACAATAGGTTTCCAATTCTCAGGARATTGGCATTCTTTGGTTTTGTCCTCCAAATTGAGCTGCTTTGAAGTCACATGCAAGGGTTCTATAGGCATGCATTTGCCTGGAATGTAGGCTAAAGTGACAACGCTATTATTTTTTCTAGCTGGGGGGCTTTGTAGTGACTGACATGTTGAATGGAAATCGAGAGGGCTTAGCACTTTTCTGTGACCTTTGTGTAGTTGCGGACGAGACTCTTGTTTTGGCTTCCGTCCATCAAACTTATAAACATATTTGTACAACCATCACTAACCAAAACATTCCACCATAACATAACTAACATAACAACATAACCATAACATTCAGGTCATTCACTATTTGAAACACACAGGACCGATTAGGGGTCTTGCCTGAGGTTCTAAACCAAACAGCCAACTTGAGAAGTGGTATAACATTTCAAGGATTTGCAAAACAAAAAATATACCAACAAAAAAAAAAAAAAAAACACTCAAAGGAAAACCGGAGAACCCGAATAAAAATCTACGTGGCAAGGTAGAGGACAATATATCTAACAAGCATAACCACAGTTAAGCTGAGAATCGAACCCGCGACCCCAGGCATCAATGACCTGAACAGCTGGTGAGAGACAGCGTGGAGGCCGCCGAAGCAGAAAAAAGGCCGTATACTTCAAGCATTTACCAGAGCAAAAAATATTAAAAATGGTTTCTGCAATCACCATTCATCTACCAATCATATACCAAGACATTCAGGCCTTGCTTACGGAAGCCCTTTTATTGCTTACGGAAGCCATTCTAATGTCAATGAAGTTCCATCCGTCACCAGATTCCATCCTTGCTTACACGGTACTTACGAAAGCCAATTTARTGCCAGTGTCACGTGGTCGTACGCTTTCAAAGGCGTGGTCTGGATTTTTAAGTACAACTGGAATAACACTCCCTCCCAAAAACGCCATTTGATTCTTTCATACCGAGAAGATATCTAGAAGGCTAGGGGGAGAGGTATACAAGCAGCCGAAAATCCCCGTGACACTGATTTGTAGTCTGCGTGCAGTATGGCAAACGTTTTTCTTTTACTGCTACTAAAACAAAATTTATCCTCCTAAACCAGATCCGGTTCAAAAGCTCCTCCGTTAAATCCGCATTTCATTAAGAAATAATTCGAATACTCATCTGATTTTTTACTACATAATAGCGTTAAAAAAAAAWTTCTTCGTGGCCTCTGGAACGTGCACCAATACAGTTCGTAAAACGGGCAACTTTCCATGGTCGTAGGAGTTAATAATATTAGTACATAAAGGGTTGGCTTCCAATATAAATACCCCAATCACGAACGCGATTCAGGAACACGGTCTGTTGCCTCGACACGAACCAGAATATTCTGGCCCTTGACCTTTCGTAGTAATCAGTGAGTAAAAAAATTCAAAAACGTGACGCGCTTCGAGCACAACCAAGGAAAATGTGATCTCTAGTCATGAATATTTAAAACTTCTAGTTCTCATTACGTATATCTTGTGACAGCCTCGAGTCGGATATTGGCTTCCTTTGAATATGAAGGCTATCCTCTTTAGAGTATGTACGTACTGTAGTTAGAAAATTTATAGCCGCCTGTGATGAATAAATGATAATATATGAATCTGAAAARCTAGCTATCGATGAAATGCATAGGGCTAGAAACGCTAGCATGTTGTTGTTTATGGATGAAAATGAGAAATTCCTTTGAGGTGGGAGAATTCAAAGGCACAGGTGAAAATATTATCATTATTCATGCTGTATTGAAAGCACGTAGGAGACTCCTAATGTTGATATGAAATAACGAAAACCATCTAGAACATTCGTGTAGAGATAGGGTTTTTTCGATTTGTTCCTTGATCGTGCTTATTATCAAATTGTATCAATGATTTTCGGATTATTTACACTGGCTGAAAAAAAGTGGTATTAAATATTCACGTGATAGAGATACAAGATGGCCACGTGACTGAAACATGATTAAAAATTAAGACTAGATCAAAATAATTATAAATATACATAAATCAACTACCGGTAAGGTCCAAGTCTTTGACTATCTGTCATAAGATCATTACATTAATTAGGAATAATTATGTAATTTCAGGTACTGTTTCTATACCGTTGCATGCCTTTAACCACACGTACTCAATATTTTATACTATAACGTAAACAAAGCGTATCTGCGTCAACCGGACACATTGCCTGTGACGTATAACTTTTACTCTTAAAGCGTATTTAAAGGAACTCTCATTCTAGAACAGTAATATTGATTGACTTACATCGACGATACAGACTTCTGTTTAAGGAGGTTTTTGCGGGAAATTTTCTCTGCAAAACGTGCGTTTTGACATTTGTTCTCATCGTGAGTTTCATTTCCGGTGTGTAACCGGAAATAAATTGTTTTATCCCATGGTTCATTGGTGTCACCGCGACCTTGGCTACCACGTCATGACACAGTGTTTGTTATAGAGTCGAGCATTTCTAAGATGGCGCACCTTCTTATAATCTATTGAATTCAACCTCATTTTAAACCACTTTTCTCGTCGGAAAAGGCTATTTYRAAGCCATGGCTAGTAGCAGCAGTAGTGTTAGTCGCTCGGAGTTCATAGTTGGGGGTAAATATCGTCTTATTCGTAAGATTGGAAGCGGTTCTTTTGGGGACATCTACCTCGCTGTCACTATGACAAATGGAGACGAAGTAGCTGTAAAACTTGAGTCCCAAAAAGCTCGCCATCCTCAGCTGTTATATGARTCTAAGCTGTATAAGATTCTACAAGGAGGTGTTGGTATTCCTTCTGTACGGTGGTAYGGTCAAGAACGGGACTATAACGTGTTGGTTATGGAACTTCTTGGTCCAAGCTTGGAGGATTTGTTTAACTTTTGTTCGCGTCGCTTTACAATGAAGACAGTTTTGATGCTGGCCGACCAAATGATAAGTCGAGTTGAGTACGTTCACAATAAAAACTTTATTCACCGAGATATCAAACCCGATAATTTTCTCATGGGTGTTGGTAAAAACTGCAATAAGTTGTATTTGATCGACTTTGGTCTGGCTAAGAAGTACCGTGATAGCAGATCTAAACAGCACATCCCTTACCGTGAAGACAAAAACTTGACTGGAACAGCTCGTTATGCCAGCATTAACGCTCATCTAGGCATTGAACAATCCAGGAGAGACGACATGGAATCCTTGGGATATGTCCTAATGTATTTTAACCGCACAAGTCTGCCTTGGCAGGGTCTGAAGGCCGCTACAAAGAAACAGAAATATGAAAAGATTAGCGAGAAAAAGATGTCTACRCCGGTGGAAGTGCTTTGTAAGGGCTTTCCGGCAGAATTCGCCATGTACCTCAACTACTGCCGAGGTCTTCGCTTTGATGAAGCTCCAGACTATATGTACCTTCGACAGTTATTCCGAATTTTATTTCGCACTCTTAATTATCAGTATGATTATATATTTGACTGGACAATGCTGAAACAGAAAGCGGCGCAAGCTAGTGCTGTGAGTGGCAGCACCCCRACRAACGCCAAGAAACAAGACCACTCTTCGCAACTACCCCCTAGTTTGATGCAACAACAAAAAGGGATGTATGATGGCATGTATTAAGSACTTTACCCCTTGTTTAYAGTCCGATCATTGCTTGGTGTAGTAGAGTTAGATCAGAGCATTGAAGCTGTTGTACGACGCCATAACGGAGAGCGCAGAGCCATGACGAGAAATAATAGTGTACTAACTCCACGAGGTTTCTCGAGCTACAATAACGAAAACATGATGTAAATARCGTAAAAATAGGATTCACGATGAACATCGTCTTTGAGACTCTTCGGAAAAAAAACACTTTGACGATCGAAACGGTTTCTTTTTATATTTATGACCAYTTTTCCTCTCCTAGTTTGGCTTTGTTGTTACTATTATTATACTCGGATGTTGCAAGTTCTTTTGTGATTTCACGAGAAAACATAAGAATGATCACAGTTTTTGATGTTTTTTTATCTTCATCTTCACGAGATAGAACCCATCGCATTTAGAATGATTTCACTTTCTTCTTTTAACTACATTTTATGAATCTTTCACATTTCGTTAATTTGACTGGTTCACAGAAAATACGCTATTATTTTAGGATTAATGTTTGTTTTTCCCTCAGTGTTCAGTGTATGTATGACTTGAAAACTCTCGTTTTGTGATCATTAAATCTAATTTATATTTGTTGCGTTTTTAGTCAATATGTTACAGTATTATGGGGAAAGGAGTTTTCAAGATGTAGACTGAAATTTATTTTTCTTAATTAGTAATATAAAAAACCCTAGTAATRTAGAAAACCCTATGTAATCGCAATTCAGAATTTTGCTTTAGTTATTTTGTCTATTAAATTTGAAAATTGGATAATAATAGTCACGTTTTCTTAGTCTGAGACTACAATCATCACTGAGGGTGAAGGGATTCAGCAAATACTATCCTGTTATTGAAAACCCAGACAAATACAAGACTTACAAGTTGTTAGTTGAAATATTTATGATACAACACTTTTGTAGCTTAAGCTGCAACTTTATGAAGGATTAATGTGGATAGAGAAGCTTTTCACTCGCATTTGTGCACCAACAGCAACCAACTACATGCTACTCTATGCTTTATCATGCAATAACAATGAGTATGGTATTTGTATTGGCTATGTTGGCTATGAAACATTTTTGTATGACTTTACTTCCTCCATGAAACAGAAACTTAGTAGGGATGAGATAATAATAATTGATATACAGACATATGACTATCTAGCACAATGGCCCTACCATAAACAAGTTAGAGTGTTGAGGATAAACCAGTTATTTAAAACATGGCCCCTACYGAAAACCAGTTTCAGTTATCTAACACATGGCCTAACCATAAAACACTTGCAGTTATCTATTTTTAATTGTTTTTGGCATTTTTGCTGATATTTTACAGTTACTGATAGATATTCTATTGTTTAGCAACAATCATTTCTAAATCTAAAATAAAAAAAATGAATTTCAATCACTTTTGACTTGTTTTGAGAAACATGCTACGGTTAGAGTGTATTTCTAAGTAGAAAGTATAGAATACTCAACTATGTCTTTAGCATTTTGTTTTTTTAAAGTATAGACTACTCAACTATGTCTTGAGCATTTTGTTATTTCATAAAATAAGAATTTATTGCTCCAATATAAGTTTTTGACCAACGGCAAAGCTGACCTTCAAAAAAGAGTCAAGGTCAACCAACAAATAATCAAAAAATTAAGTCTTAAAGATTCTTTCAGCTTTGCCTTCACATCTATGGGAAATATAAATTTAATAATAATAATAAAAATGATAAACTTTATTACAGTTTCAAAGCTTCTAGCTTGGCACACATGCCTTGCTAATCGGGGAGACCAAGATAAAGAGACCAATTTAAGATAAAAATATTGATTTCTTTGTGGAGAAGCAAGGTWAATAAGCTAGAACAAAAGATTTTGCTGCAGATCCCACAAAAAAGATGTCCTCACARACGATGCTTGAGTTTAGGGACTATTTATCTGAGGGGGTGGGGGTGGTGAAGAAAGTAATGTGGGGATTTGTGAAGGCTTGATATTATTGTAGAAATTTTAAGAGGCTTGAAGTAAAGGTCTTTATGAGACATGATAAAACCAGAACTTAACATGCTTCAATTCACAGGTCAGTACACTGTACACTGTATTTGATGTCTAGGTCAAAATAGTTCAAGGGTAGCTCATGGATGGAATGTCATGGAAACCTTTTGATTAACATTGGCAAGCTACAGTGTTGCTATGGCCCACTGAYAATTCTGCTCAGAGCAGACATATAGTTCCAGTTAAGTGCTTTAAATGAATGAACTCGATCACCGTGCCAATAGCTTTAATATCGATTCTGCCGTGTGTCTCAAGTTATGCTCAACTTGCAAAGTTATGCRGATCTCTTCTACACTCGTAATATGTCATTTTCACTCCAATGCAATCATCTTGCCATTTGCTTCAGTAGTCTGACTCTCTTTCTTATGGATATGGTCTGGTAGAGGCTTTCCAAGAGTCTCTGGAAGAAAGACTGTTCCAATACCAGCAGAAATTGATGCAGCTCCAAATRAGATACATGGGACTATTAGAGGAGTGCTGTCCTGTTGAAAGCAAAAGAGATGAGTTTTTATTAGGATAACATTAAACCTATTACCTTTTAGGATTAGACTGAGCCCCCTAAGGGCTATTGTTAGTAAAATAAACAAAATGCTTGGTCAGTCAGAGCGATACTACCCTGCTAGCAGAGCGGAGCAAATACATTCTGCGACTGTTAACTCAATTAAATAATATGAAAAAAATAAAAACAATGCCTTTTGTTTACATTACTGTGCAGACTAGTGATTTTTTCTATATACCCAAAGAGTTGAGGGAGTGTCTGAAGAGGTCTCCAGGATTCACATCTTCACTACCTAGGGCATATTGATGAGCTGATTAAAATTAAGACATACCAGTTGTAATTCTCTTTGCAAAAAAGCTTGAGATAATAATATTTTTATGTTTTATAAGCTTACCACAACATATGGTGCAGCCATCCCTCCAATGCGAGCACATAGTGATGCAAAACCTAAGCCAGCAACCCTGGAAAAAATAATGGGGGTACGGTAATATGATTCGACAGATATATTTTATGTTAAGGGGATAAAAGGATAACGAGGGGATGGTAACCAATTTTTGTGCAGCGTTTTAGGGAGGTATCTGTTGCAAGGKAGGATCCAGGGGGGCAAAAAAAAACCACAACAAAACTGAAAAATTAGATGCTTTTTTTAAATTGTTTTCCGTTGTGTTGACGGAAGAAACTCAATTAGCCCCCCCCCTCTAAAATTTTGGCTGGATCCACCCTTGTGTTGGTTGATTTCAACCCGTCCCCATCTTTCCAACCCAATGAATGAATAAATCTTCTATCACAAACACGATTGTTGTGGATGGTTGAAGAARTTAACCCAATGCTTCCTAGGTAACCCCCCTCCCCCTCCTGACGGATCAGCATCTTTTACCTAAACCCCAAGAGGTTTACGGTCATTTTTTCACTCTACAAATCCGGAACTCCGTTTTTCCATTTCAATCACGAAATTCAATAAAATGTTAACTTTTACCTCCAGTGCCAAATATACATATGTCAATTCCTCATTGTTATGACTTGCGTCACGGCCCGTGGTACATAATCGTGAATGCATTCGTATGAAGTGGTTGTTTGAATGATCTACCGAACGAGGGGCGTAATGGGATAAGTAATGAGGTTTTTGTGGTTGGGGAAACATCTCACGCGAAGATAAATAAAACATGGATACAGGGAATAAGTGCAACTAGAATTGTGTTTCAATAGACGTGCGCGGTCGGAGTAGATCAAACTAATTGTGCATTATATTTATTGTGGTTCTTCAATTAAATTTTTTAAAGTGGTTTTCACTTTCAACGCCAGACGCGACACGTTTTCTCTTTTTGGCTAATTCAAATTTAAAATTTTTAACAATTTAAATAATCATTTTTTAAGTAAAATTTTGACTAAACGAGGCCAAAAACCTTCGTATACGACGCACGCTCGCGCCATCCTACGACTCGAGTCGTAGCGTGTATCAAGCCTACAACTCGCCTACGAAGGCGAAATTCGTACGAAGGCGAAAATTTATAGAGGCTCAGTACAATCTCATACCCAGAGCCTCTCGTTTCTCGGAACTGACCCTTGAAGAGGAACGTAGGTTCTGGGTACGTGAATGGGTTCAGTATAGAAGGAGGGCACGCTTTTTTTCAAGGATGGGTGGGTGGGGATATTTTGGCATTATGATGACTTCGGTCGAAAACGTTTAAACTTTATGAATTTATATCTTTAAAATTCTTAGCCTTTTATAAACGCTGTGCCTTGATTTATGAACTCGGTCGGTAGATCATAAACTTATGAACCTCAATTTTTTAAAAAATCTTCAATCAAAGAGGATGGCTCCCACTTGTGGTTCAAATACTGGTTTAAGCTTCGTTTACTAAAGATTCATCGTTTCAGTGTTGACCMTAGCCTCCCTTACCCCCTAAGCCCACGCGTGGCATGGTGCATGGTTTATCTCACCGCTGTGGTCCGGGTTCTAGCCCGGGCAGGATCAAATGTGAGTTGAGTGTGTGGGACGTGTTGTTCTCTCCCTTGCCTCGAGGGTTTTTAGCATTGGTTCTCTGGTTTTCTTCCCTCCGTAATCAACATGCGAGTTGAGTGTTGTATGTTGTAAATATAGAATGTTAGTGCGCGCAGAGCAAGCCCGTACGGGGAGTGATAGTTGTAAAGGAAATATAAGCCCCTGCCATCTACCCAACTWAAAACGCGCCTTTGACAAAAACCCAACCTCACGCTAAACGAGGGGAGTTCCTTCGATGTAGATAAAAAAAATTATATTTTCTTATCATGCTGATTTAAAGGTACGCCCTCAACATATTCATTACTTGCGGTAAGGCTTGCCAACACGCATTCGCTTTTTATATACGACTTCTTTAAAATTAAGATTTAATACATTACTGTCTGCGTAGCTATCTCGTTCTGATATGGYACGATTACGTAGATATRACACTWRWTATATACCTGATAACGGTAGGATAMAGCTCAGCGGAGTAGATATATATCTGGTAGTAAGCGGCTGAGATGCTGAATTTGCCAATCAACGCCAAGGCYATTACTACAGCTGATAACTCTACTTGTTTGCCTGGAAATGAAGAAGATATTTGGGCTTTTAATGACAGAAAAAAAGAGCGCGACGCATACGTAAGTGCAAACAGAATAATGAAAGATTTTTTTTTCATCCGTTGGCAATGGAAAAGAAAAAGAAATTATTTAATACTTTGATCACGCGGGGATAGAAGAGAATGATTAACGCGCTCGACGCAATATAGAGGTAATYAGTTTTTGTGGAGGGAGGAAAACTGGAGAACCCGGGGAAAACCTTTGAAGCACAGGAGAGAACCAACAAGGACCTCTTCTCCTATATGATGGTGGGTCATAGGAACAAGCCCATGGCTAAGGGCAGTGAGCTGAGAAGCGGCGCATTAGCAGCGCACAYTACACTTGCTTTCCTAAAGATTCGGGATCCGATATAGACACTTATATACATCTATACTCATCAATTTGCGCTTGCCTAAGGACTTGTTTCAGCAAAACCAAACAACTGCAATTGTGCCAATGGTGAAATTCTCTCCTCACGAATTTTAACACAGAATGTGCTATTATCTGACAAAGCCAAAGCATCATTGTTATGTTCAYTGTATAGTTATTTATTACGGTTAATACATACCTAGCGCTTGTATTGGTAAAATACATAGTAGAGACACTCCAGCCAAGACATAATATGCAATAAGAGGTTTTCGTCTACC